TCAAGAGATATTTGAAGCACGTAGTGTATATTGTAAATTTTCTTAAAATTTAAAAATTCTTAAAACAGATTATAAAATTAAGAAAAACTATTACCCAAAAAAGCATTATCTAACACAGTTATGTTAGTATATATAACTTCTATCCAACAAGGAAACATATAACATAATATATTTTTTTCTTAAAAAATTGATTACCGGACATAATTTACATTAAGCTACAGATGCTTTACATTTCTTACAATATTTTCTCTTATCTAAAATCCAAATTCAACCCCTAAAATATTGGAATTACAAGAAAAACCCAATTACCCTCGTTATGTAATTTTAGTAAAATACATAAATTCTCAATGCATTCCGTTTCATTTACCTTTGAAGATCGCGATGGTAAGTAGGGAAAAGACTAAACAAGCCTAGTCAGACAAATACCAACAAACTGCACCATAACTACCCTCTGATAGATACCCTTCCAAGTTTCACTTCTCTATAAATTCACAGCCAATGCTCGTCCTTCTCCCACCGAAAACTAAGAAAAGAAAAAAGGGGAAGGGAAATGGGTGTAAACTCAAACAGGGTTGAAGATTTCTTTAGCCAAACTGGAAATACAAGTTTAACACCTGTTAAGGTTTCTACAGAGATAGCAATGCCAGCACCAGAGGCTACGACGATGGAGATACACAGTGTTTGCATGCCCCCAAAGAAAACCACTTTCCAGAAGCTCAAACACAGGCTTGCGGAAATATTTTTCCCCGATGATCCTCTCTATGGATTCAAGAACCAGACGTGGTGTAAGAAGCTGGTTATGGGAGTCAAGTCTTTGTTCCCGATATGCCAGTGGGGTCTTGAGTACAATCTGGGGCTTCTTAGGTCTGATATTATCTCTGGTCTCACCATTGCTAGCCTTGCAATCCCTCAGGTAAAAACCATTTAATCAGCTCACTACACAACAAAAAGCATCTCTCGATCTCTGTCGTGGTTGTTCATGGATTTTTGTCCACTAATCAATATTAGTGGACTGGGCATGTTTATGAATATATTCCAGTTTCTTTGATATCATTAGACTGACTTTAAAAGAAGAAGAACGGTTTCCACTGAATGTGTGATTTATGTGAGATTTTTTCTTTTATTAATGATAAAATAATTGTAGTTTAAATTAAAAATATTAGGCTTGATAAGAACTTATCTCAAGATAATCCTCCCCTAATTAATAAATCCTCATGTGAACTTGTGGAAATGATCTTTGCATGTCAGATAAGACAGTTAATTATGTTTCGGATCAAATCAAAATTCTTTCATTGACAAAAAATAAACTCCTTATTCTTTTTTGGTAATCTATTTTGTTTTGATGGACTGCAGGGAATCAGCTACGCAAAGCTTGCAAATTTGCCACCAATCATCGGTTTATGTTAGTATAAGAAATTCAGAACCAAAAATACTCTATCTCCAAGTTGAATGCAATGATGGATAAATCCAAATTATTAACTCTATCAATTCATGCAGATTCAAGCTTCGTTCCCCCTTTGATTTATTCAGTCCTAGGGAGTTCTAGGCATCTTGCTGTTGGTCCAGTGTCCATTGCTTCCTTAGTGATGGGCACAATGCTCAGTGGAAGTGTCTCCCCTACTAATGAGCCAATGCTCTACCTTCAATTGGCCTTCACTGCTACCTTCTTTGCTGGTGTATTTCACGCATCTCTGGGTCTCTTAAGGTAAACTTTGATTGTTAAGAAGACGTCTTTTTGTTTCTCCTCTTATTTTCCTAGAGGTTTAATTGATAATAAGAAGCTTAAGATTCTTCCACTGTGGAAAAGTGCGATATGCATATTGATTCTGACTTAGTATCTGTTAAACAAAGGCGTTCCTGAACCTTAAGCATATTGGACTGTAGGCACAAAAGCTACTTCTTTTATCTATTAAGATTTTAATTGATTCTGGTTTTGATTTACAGGTTAGGCTTTATTATTGATTTCCTATCGAAGGCAACACTTCTTGGATTCATGGCAGGTGCAGCAGTCATTGTGTCATTACAACAGCTAAAGGGGTTGCTTGGAATAGTTCATTTCACAAACAAGATGCAATTGATACCTGTTTTGAACTCTGTATGTGAGCACAAAAATGAAGTAAGTGGGTTCACCAAGGGAAAGAAATGTAAACTTCCCTTTATTCATCTTCTTTCTTTCTTTCTAAAATAACTAGTAATTAGAACCATCTTGGAAGGGCTCTTCTTGTTTTTTGGCCAAGAATGTTGATTATTTGTCGGAAAGGGGCAGTTTACAAATGCTTGCATATTCATTGCCTGGGATGATTTTGATGAATGAAAATCTACACCTCTGATTCAATCCTATACACTAAACCACTGAATCATATTATGCATGGTTTCATGTAGAAAGAGATGTATTCTACTTTTGAAAAGTAACAAAATGCTGCAATGCTAATACTGGTTTAAATTCATCTGCAGTGGTCATGGCAAACTATTGTAATGGGATTTGGCTTCCTGGTCTTTATGTTGACAGCAAGATATGTTGTAAGTATCTCTATTTGACCACCAAAAAGTTTGTCCAGATTCTAGCTTAGTCCTAAATAAGTTTTGATGTTTGAAAGTTTTGATACAGAGCACGAGGAAACCGGATCTTTTCTGGGTATCAGCAGCTGCCCCGTTAACGTCCGTGATTCTCTCAACGATCTTAGTCTTCTGCCTTAAATCAAAAGCTCATGGAATCTCATATGTAAGAAATGATTCTTCTACTCTACTTTTATGTAAAAGAAAAAAATTATCCAAATCTAAATTGCCTTTCCCTTTATATTCCACAGATTGGCCACTTGCAAAAGGGTTTGAATCCACCTTCATTGAACATGCTATACTTCAATGGCCAACATCTGGCTTTAGCTATCAAGACTGGACTTATCACTGGGATCCTGTCCCTTACTGTAAGCTTGCCTTAACCAGCACTGTCATTGATTTCTTTATTCGATTACTAAAACCCTTTTTGTTACAGAACGTTATTGGACAACATAAACATTCTATTCCAAACCATTTTATGGATGGCCTACCTTACCTATAAATGATTGTGTGGATTTGCATGGGACTGCCATCATGTTCTTGATATCTATTTTCTGTATGATTTTTCTCTCTAATATCCAGATGATTTATAATGTTTTGCAGGAAGGGATTGCAGTGGGAAGGACATTTGCTGCTCTAAGGAACTACCAAGTTGATGGAAACAAAGAAATGATGGCCCTTGGTCTCATGAACATGGCTGGTTCTTGCACTTCATGTTATGTTACAACAGGTGTTGACTCTCTCACATAGTACTTCCAATATAAAAACATTTACTTTTTATAGAATCTAACACTATTCTCTTTGACACGTCTTTTTCAGGATCGTTTTCTCGATCTGCAGTAAATTACAATGCTGGAGCTCAAACAGCGGTCTCTAACATCGTATTAGCTGCAGCTGTGCTTGTGACTCTGCTGTTCCTGATGCCACTATTTTATTACACCCCTAATGTCATCTTAGCAGCCATCATCATAACAGCAGTGATAGGGCTTATTGATTACCATGGGGCATACAAGTTGTGGAAAGTAGATAAACTCGATTTCTTGGCTTGTATGGCTTCCTTCTTTGGGGTTCTTTTCATCTCTGTTCCTCTGGGACTTGCCATTGCAGTAAGCATTTTAAACTTTTCCAAGTGGTTATGCTGTCATCTCATCTTCTCCTAGTATTGTGTTTGTTAAAAGCATCGACATACTGGAATTGCAGGTTGGAGTTTCTGTATTCAAGATTCTCTTGCATGTCACCAGGCCAAACACTCTGGTATTGGGGAATATTCCAAGAACACAAATTTACCAAAACCTCCACAGATACAAAGAAGCTTCAAGGGTCCCTTCCTTTCTCATACTGGCCATCGAATCTCCAATCTACTTTGCAAATTCAACTTATCTACAAGAAAGGTAACCCCATAAATGTCTCCTTTGAATCTTACCGTTGATAGGCCTTTAACCGTACAATATAACATCAGGCAGAAATGTTCATAGGCCTTTAACCGTACAATATAACATCAGGCAGAAATGTTCAATCAGTCTAGGAATTGGTTGACTGACTGAAGGAATCTTTGTTATAGGATCATAAGATGGATCCGAGAGGAGGAAGAACGGATTAACGAAAACCATGAAAGTGCTTTGAAATGTGTAATTATTGACATGACTGGTAAGTTATACATTTTTCCTTTAAGCCCAAGCTTCTATCTTTTTCTACCAAAAAGATATCCCGACTGTATTTGGCTAACAGCGATGCAATTTTATTATAGCCGCCACAGCAATAGATACAAGTGGCATCGACCTGTTATGTGAACTAAGAAAGTTGCTGGAGAAAAGATCACTTCAGGTAAATGATTGTCGATTTTCATCAAATGAAATTTTAGTGTGTGCTTATGGTTTTGACACTTGGTTTTTTGGTCATCTTCAGCTAGTGTTGGTAAATCCAGTGGGAAGTGTGATGGAGAAATTGCATCAGTCGAAAGCCTTGGAGTCATTCGGAACGAGTTCAGTCTATCTCACAGTAGGGGAAGCAGTGGGAGACATCTCAGCTTCATGGAAGCCTCAACCATGACGACATTGTAGACAAGAAGCAAACCCTTGACTAACCCATTTAGACCCTTTAGCTGTCTTGAAAGAGGTTCGACGTAGACAAGACTCTTTTTTCTTTTTCATTTTGGGAGAAACCCCTAAATCAATTAATCATTATGCGTTGGTTTATTAGAGAAATGAAAGTTAAACCTTGTTGCATTCCATAAAACCAAAGAAGATGATGCCTCGTGGTTTCCCAAAGTTATATCTTCTGAATTTCACATTGGAATGTAAGAAATTAAGCAAATTTCATGTCACCAGATTAAAGGATGATAAGCAACTCAATTAAGAAAAAGATAAAGCTGGAAAACAGTATCAGCTGCAGCGAATCATCTTTCGCAAAGCGACCTAAAATTCTAAACTAAGCTCTCCCTCAAATGAATGCATACTTATGTGCTCTAGCTTCATATCACTTAACCAACACTAATCCCGAGCTACTATGGCGGCTCTCGGCCATCTTTACAAGCACTTCCGTATTATATCCAAAAGCAATGAGCATATATTATTTAACTTAAGCTAGTTCTTTCTCATTGCGGATTAGATTTCATATTTAGAGAACTATATCCTTAAGCTCTTCCAAATAAGTGAAGAAATACCATTAACTTTAATGCCGCAAGGGATTTCTTCACACATGATTCTTTGTCAGTCAAATATCTGCATGGAATAGTTTCAAATTCAGTCCATAGTATGACATTAAATGAAACAAAAAATAATTATTAAATGAAAAGGAAAAAAGACCGTAAATAATTTAATAAAAAAATCTTTTTTCCAACAGTTGGGGGTTAAGAATCAAAAGAAAAAAAAGTAAAAAAAAACTATTTTTTCCTGGAAATGCCTCCAAGAACATCACTGCTATAAACCAATAACGAAAGAAAAAAACATTTATTTTATAATTAAGAAGTCACTTTTAGCATATATATAGGAATCATATCTTACTTCATCTGTATCGAGTGGGAATCTCTCTGAGTTCCCTTTTAATGCATAAATATTCACCTAGCAAAGCCATCACTGCAACTCCTGTACCATTCACAACCCACCAGGTAACAGAGGAAGGCCAACCTCCATATATAAGGCATATAAAAAGATGGATAATATAGAGGGTGGCTGAAAAATCTAAGCACTTCTTTGCCCTTTCAATCAAATAAATCATGTAGCCGGCTCTGCATAAGACCCAAATAAAACAAAAATACAAGTTAAAATGAGCTAAGTTCAGAAAATGCCTAGATTATTAGTACAATATGCTTCCAAGTCTTAATGGAGATAATATCTTCATAGAAATAATATTTAGATCCCGCCATTAATTCACAACTAAATAACCCTCGTACCGAAAAACTGAATCAGCAAAATAACAGATTCAATGGCTTGGGCTGGGAGGTAAATTACTTCCAAACTTAACTTCAAAGTCCTAAAAAGAGTTAAAGGCTCAATCAACTTTGCATTTGGACTTCAAAAAGCATGTGCAGAGATTTCTAAATCCTAGTGTTTAGTATCAAAAATAGTAGAGATGTCATAAAACTAACGTCACACACCATTATTAAACACCAAAACTGCAGGACATAATTTGTATATATATATATTTTATCAAAGCCAGTTCTACAACTTATAACCATGGATAAAACAAAAGCAATGGGGATTAATTAGTTCAATCGTAAGCAACCATTAGGTGTTATGAGGTACACAGCAAAGGTTAGGCCGTGGTTGAGCAAAACATTCGTTTATGAAAATAACTACTTACTTATATTCAAGCAAATCTAATAGTTAGTAAATCCACATGGAATCAGACAGTAACCGATCATGTCTTTTATAAAGGCAATTGAAACTTAGGCAGATAATGATTCAAATGAAACAAAGGAGGAAATTATATTCTTAGTTTTTCACCCTGAAACAGCGCTGAACAGAAACGAAGCAATGACACTCCAGCCGGCAAAGGTGGAGGATGTAAGAGTAGCAAAGTCAAAGAAATAGACCAAGCTCATACGAGAAACATGAGTACCAACAAGAAAGGACAAGAAGACTCCAAGCATAAGGTAGTATAAGCATTCAAGGCAAACAATTTGGGCTACAATAAGCCTAGGATCCCATACCATCCCCCCATAGAAATGACTGCAATTGAAATAAGCCAATTCCTTATATCCAAGTGTCAGATCCTAAAAAAATAACAGGTTCCTTTGAATAGTTTTCTTCGAACCTCAATTCTTGCAAGATATTAGATGGACCAATGCAAACCGTTGGCTGCCATGTTGAAGCTTTTGAAAGCTGAAGAAAAACCCAGTTTTTAAACAGTGAAAATTCAATGCTAAACTGAGTTTGATGTTCAATTTTTTTCACTTTTTAGTGTACCCAAGATCGAGACTCGGTGAACTCGTATCAGGTAAATCAGCGAGTAAAGGAACAAATCCAAATCTGATAAGAAAAATCAACTGTTATTTCTCAGATAAATTAATCCCAATTGTAGATGCTCGGTTTTGTCCGGGGACTCCGTTCGAGTTCTAGATCCAGTACGAGTTACAGTGTGGATCAGTGAGAGCCCAAATAAGTCCAAACCTGTTGGAGGCCCAGCTCAAGACCAATGGACAGCAGTTGTATGCAGAAAAAGAAAGAGATCGATGTTGGTTTTTAGCAGTTGAAATAATCAAATAGTGGGGAATTAAAAAACTGTAAAGAGTCAGTTTTGAGGGGATGAACCACGGAAAAACTATCTAGAGATTGACGGGGGGTCTTCGGCTACGGAGAAAAAAATTTTAACAAAAAAAAACAGAGAGGGAAAATCGAATGTAGAACAAAAAAAACAGCATTTGTGAATCAAAGAATGTAACAGCGGGTTTTACCCATTTTTCTTCTGAAATCAAGCAATACAAGCAGTACATTCATTCCTCATTTCTTTCGATCAACAACTCAACAGCATAAAACAAAGCATTTTCAAGAAATTGAAAACAAGAGGAGTTCGATTCATTACCTTAACGGAAGAAGGAGCTAACTTCGTAAAAAAGAGAACCTCACCAGAGCCATCGGGGTAAGCATCCGAGTATTCATTAGAGCCCTAAGGTTGTTGTGTTGTTTATTTTTAGGATTAGATTTACGTTAAATGGTATTGGAGGATTTCATAAACATGAAAGTGAGAATGCCCAAAAATCATTCGATTAAAATTTTGAGAGAAGATTAAAACAAGAACCATTCGAAAGATAACCTAGAATAGTAAAGGGCGAGAGAGAAATAGCTTACCTTGACCAAGCGTCGGGGGTCGCGTTCTTAGGCCAATCGAGTGTTTGCATGTGGGTTTTGGGGTTGAGGTTCTAGGTCGTTTAGGTTGTTTGTTAAGTGCTTAGGGTTCTGTTTGTTGAGCTTTAGAGAACGTGGTCATTGCATCTAGTCTAGTGTTGTCGCCGAGGGAAAGAAAGGGGAAGAAGAGAGTCGATTAGGAGAGAATGGAGATGGGATTGCAGCTGGGATATGTTACAAGTGAATTTAGAGTTTAGCTATTACCCTATATTTTGTATATATGGATTCATTGAAACGACAGTGTTTAAGGCGGCCAGATTTGACATAGGTTATTGGTGATTTAGGTCTATTAGTTTTAACCGTTTCTCATTTTAATCCTTAAATTGATATTTTCGTATTTTTAATTTTGCTTCCATATTTTACGTGCATTTAATTTAAGTCCTTAATTAGTAATGTATTTAGTTTCTGTTGTTTAGATATTTCACCTTTAATTTTCGCATGTTTCGTTTTAGTCCTTAATTCGAATGTTTCTGTGTTTTTAGTTCAGTTTCTTTATTTTAAATGCGTTTAAATTTAGTCCAATCTGTGCTTGTATAATTTTCGCAATTTTAAACATTTGACCCTCGTGTTTTGCATGTTCTATTTTAGTCCATTTAGTGTGTTTAATTGAATTTTGCATTGATTGTATTTCTGACCCATTACTTTTAAAATTTTATTTTGAGGCCATGTGTTTACTATTTTATGCATGTTGGCAAGGTTAATATAGATTTACTTTAAGTGTATACATGTATATGTTATTTCAAGCATGTTGTTCATACGCATGTATTTAGGTATAATTAGTTGTTGAAAACATTTTGATATTTCGATATAACAAATTAAGTTAAATGAATTTTAAGATTTTCCAAAATGATTTTCTAAATATATTCGATATAATTATTCGAATATCAAAACAGTACTCAAAACATTTCAAAAATCATTTTTAATCCTTACTTAAGTGTAAAATTAAGTTTTAATCTTAAAACAATTTCAAAATAATCTTTCAAAGTATTTCGAACAATTTCAAAGCCAAAAATTCCAGATTGCTCAGAGGGAACCGATTCCCCCCCAAGGGGGTACCGATTCCCCCTGAATGGTTTGGCTCCGAGATTTCCAGAATGCTCGGAGGGAACCGATTCCCCCATAGGGGGTACCGATTCCCCCCTGTTCAACGGTCGAAATATTTGAATTTTTACACTTAGGGAACCGATTCCCTATAGGGGGTACCGATTCCCCCCACGCTCCAAACTGTTTTATTAATTATTTTCACACTAAAACGGCTATATGATCTTCACTAATCATCCCCAACGTTCAGAAGAGATTCAAGGTGTATTTAAACAAGTTCTGAAGCCCTTGATCAACAAGAAATTATAGAGAAACAAGAGAGAAAGCATCAAACACCAAGTTTGTGCAAATCAAGCCAATTTTTTCCTTTCAATATTCATTTTGCTTTCAAGAACACCATTTGTGCTCATTTGTAATTATCTTTGAGTGTTCTTTTCTTGTTCTAGAATTGTGCAAACATCTTACCTTGTGAGGTTTTCTTGTAAGTTTACAAATTTGTAATCTTCTCTTTGGGAAAAAGAGTGTTCTCAAGAGTTGGGGTATACTCTTGAGGGATTTTGTAAGGTTATCTCTTTGGCCTCAAAAGAAAGAACAAATTAGTGAATTTGTTGGAAAATCCTTAGTGTGGATAGCTAAGGTAGTGGACGTAGACTTTGTTTGAGAAAGTCGAACCACTGTAAATCGCTGTGCAATTACTTTCAATTTTTCTGCAAAAGCTTCCACGAAATTTTTAATTGCCAATTCACCCCCCTCTTGGCCGATTCCGTCGATCGATTAACTCAACAATTGGTATCAGAGCCTCACTCATTTGAAGGTTTAACCGCCTCTTGAGTAGATCCGGGAAGAGTTAAATCGATAAAGATGGCGTCCACTTCCGGTTCATTCTCCATGGAAGAATCCAGACCAATTGGCGTGCCTCTACACTTCAATGAAACAAATTATCGTCGTTGGAAGAGGTTCATGATGATGTTTATTCAAGCACATGATATGGAAGCTTGGATGATAATCGAGAACGGATATTCTTTTCCTACGAAGAAGGTAAAGAAGTAGAGTAATCAAGAACGGAAGGAAGCTCAACAAAACACAAAGGCTATGCATATGTTGTGTTGTGCAATTGATCCTAATGTATATAAAGGAGTTTCTTCTTGTTCAAGTACAAAGGAAATGTGGGATAAGCTTGAGGAGATCTATGGAGACAAGGAAAAAAGAAGAACCAATAAAAGTGATGTCTCTATTAGCTCTCACAGAGCCAAAGGTATCTTCTAACTCAAATAGATTAAATTCAAAATCTTTTAGTGAGTTACAAGATGCTTATGATGAATTATTTTCGGAGTTTGAGACCATGAACTCCAAATACAATAAATTGATTTCTAAATTTATTACTAAAAATGATCTTATTTTGAAAGCTAAAAAGGACTTGGAAAATAAAAATGAAATGTTGAAAAAGGAGTTAGAGCTTTCAAAAATAAAATCAGAAAACTTTGAAAAAGAAATTTTCAAATTAAACAAACTTCTTCTAGAAACTAAAATGGATTTTGAACAACAAAATGAAATTTCGAAGAAGAATTTAGAGCTTTCAAAGATAAAATTTGAAAGTATGGAAAATGAAATTTTCGATTTAGAAGTTAAGCTTGAATGTTTAACAAAAGAAAAAGAGATCATTTTAAATAATTCATCTAGTTCAATAATGACAATATGCTCACATTGTCATTATCATGGTCATAAGGAACATACTTGTCCTTTAAAGAAAGGAAAACGATTTAAAATTAGACAAGTATGGGTTCCAAAAGGAACAAGAGGCATTGAAACTAATGTTCAAGGATCCAAAGCAATTTGGATACCAAAATACACTTAAATGTCTCTTGTAGATGTGTGGGAGCAATGGTGATGAAGATGATGATATTCAAGATGCTCTAGCCACACATGAAAAAGGAATGGGTAACCTCTAAACTTAATGTTATTATTTATTTGGTTGCTCATTTAGTTTGTGCATACATGAGGTTTTAAATATTGAATAATTTTGATTTTGCATAATTGTTTTATTCTCATGTATTTTGAAAATATTGTTATGATGAACATTTTAATTTATATTTATTCTTCAGAATTTTAGTTCATCATAATAAAACTTGGTCAAAATTTTAACGTAATTGATATTCATTTTAAACCATTGATATAAATTTTCAAACAATTTGATTTTTGACCTTAAATTTTGTTTTAATGTTTATGCAAGTAATTTCAAAGTTTCAATGATATCTCTCTAAATCGATATCAATCTTTAATGCATAACATCTTTATAAAACTTTATGCATATGCTCTTAATTTTGATAATCAACATTGTATAATGGTTTATATGTGAATGGGTTAAAGCATAATCTTTTGAATAATGAATTTGACAAAATATACAATGTCTTATTTTCTTTTAAATTAAAAGTTTGCAAAATTGATTGACATTGCATCTATTTCGATTATGCTTATCGGTCATAAATAGGAAACATATACATGATGCATTTATATTTTATTTACATGACTATTTTTGTGCCTAGTTGCTAAGGATGAGCATGATAGTTGGTTATGGCATAGGAGACTAGGACATGCTAGTATGAGTGTTTTGCAACGGTTAATTCAAGGTGATTTAGTTCGAGGGTTGCCTAAGCTTAAATTTGATAATGATAAAATCTGTGATGCTTGTGCTAAAGGAAAACAAAAGCGTGTTTCTTTTAAATCCATTAATGACGTATCAACTAGTAGAGTATTACAATTGATCCATGTAGATCTTTTTGGGCCAACTAGGACTACTAGCTTGGGTGGAAAATAATATGTATTTGTC